GTTATAGGAGGGGAACCTTATTTTCTGCTGCATCTCAATATCATTTCATCTGTCCCCTCAATCTTGATCTCCAGGTTCATTCTTTGCTGGACAAGGGAGACCATCCATACTTCTGCACAAGATCTTCTGTTTCACTTGTAGTTCCAATCTTTCTTGTAACCACTTTGTCCCACCACACTGAAGCCTCTAGTCCCACCTGCCTTGGGTCCCACTCAAGCCTGACAGTGTAAGAACTTAGGTTTTCAAGATTCAATCACCAAGTTGTTTCCTTCTTCCTATTCTTTAAAATTTTATTGAAGTGTAGTTGATTTACAATGTTGTGCTAATTTCTTCTGTACAGCAAAGTGACTCAGTTATACAGACATATATATTCTTTTTTCATATTCTTTTCCATTATGGTTTGACACAGGATATTGAATATAGTTTCTTGTGCTATATATAGTAGGACCTTGTTGTTTATCCATCCTATATATAATAGTTTGCCTCTGCTAATCCCAAACTCCCATTCCTTCCTGCCCTTCCCCACCCTTGGCAAGTCTGTTGTCTACATCTGTGAGTCTGTTTTTGTTCCGTAGATATGTTGATTTGTATCATATTTTAGATTCCACATATAAGTGATATCATATGGTATTTGTCTTTCTGTGTCTGACTTACTTCACTTAGTGTGATAATCTCTAGGTCCATCCATGTTGCTGAAAAATGGCATTATTTTATTCTTTTTGATGGCTAATATTCCATTGTGTGTGAGACACACACTACATCTTCTTTATCCATTCATCTGTTGATGGACATTTAGGTTGTTTCCATGTCTTGGCTATTGTAAATAGTGCTGCTATGTACATAGGGGTGCATGTATCTTTTTGAATTATAGTTTTGTTAGAGTATATGCCCAGGAGTGGGATTGCTGGATCATATGGTGACTCTAGTTTTAGTTTTTTGAGGAGTCCCCATACGGTTTTCCATAGTGGCTGCACCAATTTACATTCCCACCAACAGTGTAACAGGGTTCCCTTTTCTCTGCACCCTCTCCAGCATTTGTTAATTGTAGACTTTTTAATGATGGGCATTCTGACTGGTATGAGGTGGTACCTCACTGTAGTTTCAATTTGCATTTCTCTAAAAATTAGCAGTGTTGAGCATCTTTTCATGTGCCAGTTGGCCATCTGTATGTCTTCTCTGGAGAAATGTCTATTTAGGTCTTGTGCCCATTTTTTGATTGTGTTTTTTTGTTGTTGTTGTTGAGTTGTATGAGCTGTTTGTATATTTTGGAAATTAAGCCCTTGTCATTCACATCTTTGCAGATATTTTCTCCCATTCTGTAGGTTTTCTTTTTGTTTTGTTTATGGTTTCCTTTGCTGTGCAAAAGCTTGTAAGTTTGATTAGGTCCCATTTGTTTATTTTTGTTTTTATTTCTATTGCCTTGGGAGACTGACCTAAGAAAACACTGGTACAATTTATGTCAAAGAATTTTTTGCCTGTGATCTCTTCTAGGAGTTTTATGGTGTCATGTCTTATGTTTCAGTCTTTAAGCCATTTTGAGTTTATTTTTGTGTATGGTGTGAGGGTGTGTTCTAACTTTATTGATTTACATGCAGCTGTCTAACATTCTCAGCACCACTTGCTGAAGAGACTATCTTTTCCCCATTTTATATTCTTGCCTCCTTTGTTCAAGATTAATTGACTGTAGGTATGTGACTTTTTTTCCGGGCACTCTATTCTGTTCCACTGATCTGTATGTCTCTTTTTGTGCCAATACCATGCTGTTTTGATTACTGTAGCTTTGTAGTATTGTCTGAAGTCTGGGAAGGTTATGCCTCCTGCTTTGTTTTCCTCAGGTTTACTTTGGCTGGGTCTTTTATGGTTCCATATAAATTTTAGGATTTTTTGTTCTAGTTCTGTGAAAATGTCAGGGGTAATTTGATGGGAATCACATTAAATCTGTAGATTGCTTTGGGTAGTATTGCCATTTTGATAGTATTAATTCTTCCAATCCAAGAGCATGGGATATCTTCCATTTCTTTGAATCATCTTTAATTTCTTTTATTAATGTTTTGTAGTTCTCAGCATATTAAGTCTTTCTCCTCCGTGGTTAAGTTTATTGCTAAGTTGTTATTTATTTATTTTTCGATGTGCTTTTAAAAGGGATTGTTTATTTACATTCACCTTCTGATATTTCATCGTTAGTGTAAAGAAATGCAACCAATTTCTCTATGTTAATCTTGTATCCTGCTACCTTGTCGAATTTGTCTATTCTTTTCAATACATTCGTGTATCTTCCTCCAAAATAGTGATTTTTTCTTTTCCTTTTGGTTGCTGAAACTCTGATGTTTGGGGGTACTTTTCATGTTTTTAGTGGCATCAAATAGATGTAAGACCTAAGGCTTTCATCTAGAATAGTCAGTGGAAGTTGGCATTTCCACTTAGAACTTCCCTTAAGAATAGGTAGTTAATCATAGTGCCACTTGACGTCATCTTCGTTTCATTTCTCTCTGTGCCTCATTAAGTGAAGGCATCAAATACCATTTAGGTAATGGGTTCCCTTTGAGAAATTATCTCTGTTCCACCTGGACTCTATTCTCATCACTTTTTAAAATACACCACCAGTAGGTGAATACTGCCAGTTATAGAATTATGAATCCGTCCTTGGACATGATGTCTGGTCCCAAACCACCTACCCAAACTTTCCTCTCTATTCCTTTGTACACAGTTGTCAGTTTGGGACTCCTGCTCTTCCTCAGGTAGATCCTGTATTCTTACTTCTTCACATAACATTCCTTCTGCCATCATTGACTGCTTCCCATCCTTCACTGGCCAGCTCACAGTCCTTACCACTGTGCCATCCTGTCCACACTCCAGCATAGATGGGGGCACGCATTAGCTTCCATCCCAGGCTGCTGGATGTTGCCAGGCAGGTGTAGACACATCCTAACTTCTCTGCTGGGTCATCCCCACTTTGAGGGCTGTCCCATCCCCTAGTAGGACCTCAGTAGTGCTGTGTTTAATGAATGAATCTAGCTTCTGAGCATGAGGACTGCTCCTTAGCGGGCACCTTTGAGAGAAAATGAATGACTGATAAAGTAATAGAATTCTGGCATCCGTTTCCAGTGGAGACAGGCTAGCACAAAGCTCTCCCTGACCTGTAACTATGTTTCCCTGACTCTTGCCCACTGAGCATCTCCATCCACATTCTTCTTCCCAAGAAGAAAACCATTTAACCAGAGCCAACCAAGGCCAGCTCATGAATCAAAGTTTGAGGAACAAGACATTGTAGTTACTTAGCTGGTGATAAGGGCTCTTCTCCATCCCCCACAGAGCCTGCCTCACTGGTCCCAGTCAGGAAACTGGCCTGCACTTCCCTTCTATAACTTCTCTCACTAATGTTTCCATTATTGCTACTAAATATCCCTGTTCTATGAAGCTATAAATCACATGACACTGAAAACAGAAACATGAGGGGGATATAAGGTAACTGACTTCCAAAGAGACCCTTGCCACAGACCAGTAGGCCCAGAGCTGATGTTTCCTGGTAGCCTGGGTGTTGAGCAGAACAGGACAAGTTAGAGTTTACAGAAGAGCACAGACTGTGGCAGGACTGTGGCTGTCTCTTGGTTTTCACCAGATGCCATATACATGAGCACTCTGGAGGCAGGAGTTGTCATTTTCTGTATTCCCAAAACCTCCTGCAGTGCTTGGAGCTTAGTGAACACTCAGTAAATGCTTCATCCATTTAGTCAACACTTATTAAGGCCCTCATGTGTGCTAAGTGCTGGTTACAGTCATGGAGAAGAAAGGCATCGTCCCTGGCAGCATAGAGCTCTCAGTCTGCTGGGGTGGGGAAAGAAGGGAAAGTCAGACATGAAACCAATAAATGGAGTCATAGTTATTTAACTCAAATTGTGCTCACTTGTTGCACAGGAAAAATGTGGCATGCTATGAGAATATATAAAATAGAATGTTTTCCTAAATTTCCTTTAGGGAGTCACGTTTAAGCTGAGTTTTGTGTTTTTTTTTTTTTTTTTTAAGCAGAGGAAGATTTATTGCAGGGCCATGCAAGGAGAACAGGTAGCTCATGCCCACCACCTCCCCCCAAAACCCCGAATCTCCTGAAGGGTTTCAGCAAAGCATTTTTTTAATTGAAGTATAGTTGCCTTACCATGTTGTGCTAATTTCTGCTGTCCAGCAAAGTGATTCAGTTATACATATAGGTACATCCTTTTTTTAATATTCTTTTCCATTATGGTTTATCCCAGGAGATTGAATGTAGTTCCCTGTGCTATACAGTAGGAACTTGTTGTTTATTTTATGTGTAATGGTTTGCATCTGCCAACCCCAAACTCCCAGTCCATCCCTCTCCCACCTCCCCTACTCCTTGGCAACCACAAGCCTGTTCTCTGTGTCTGTGAGTCTGTTTCTGTTTTATAGATAAGTTCATTCGTGCCATATTTTAGATTCCACATGTAAATGATATCATATGGCTTTTGTCTTTATCTTTCTGATTTACTTCACTTAGTATGATCATGTCTAGGTCCATCCATGTTGCTGCAAATGGCATTATTTCATTCTTTTTTATGGCTGAGTGATATTCCATTGTATATATGGACCACATCTTCTTCATCCACTCATCTGTCGATGGGCATTTAGGTTGTTTTTATGTCCTGGCTATTGTGAATAGTGCCAGCAAACCATTTTTAAAGACCAGGCGTGGGAGGGGCATCCCAGGATATGTGATTAGCTCGTGCACAATTCTCTGATTGGTTGATGTTGAGTTTTGATTTCTAAGATGAGTTTTGAGGGAAGAGTAGGAGATATTGACTAGATGGCCAGAGGCAGGCAAGACTGGACAAGTGCACACTAGCATCCATGCCTGTAATAAAAACTCACCATATGCTGTCCACAAAATCTATGCTGAAGGTAAAACCTACGATGCTTGGGGTGTGGACCACTTCCTTCCAGTGCACACCTGCTGACCCAGCTCCTTCTCTCCTTTGTTTCCACCTCAGAATACGCCACCAGCAACCCCGACTTGCTGTTGGTCATCTTCCAAGTGACAGGTGTCAGCCTCCTGCCGCCGCTGGGCATCGCCATTGCCGTCATTGTCACCTTCTACTGCTACCGCGTCCACCGGCAGCAGAAGCTGAGCCCGGCCTGGGACTCAGGCAAGCCGCGCAAGCTGATGGAGTTCAGTGAGCACCTGGCCATCATCCTGGAGGATGACCGCTCCGACATCAGCTCCACCTGCGCCAACAACATCAATCACAACACGGAGTTGCTGCCCATTGAGCTGGACACCCTGGTGGGCAAAGGGCGCTTCGCCGAGGTCTACAAGGCCAAGCTGAGGCAGAACACGTCTGAGCAGTTTGAGACCGTGGCCGTCAAGATCTTCCCCTATGAAGAATACGCCTCCTGGAAGACGGAGAAAGACATCTTCTCGGACATCAACCTCAAGCACGAGAACATCCTGCAGTTCCTGACAGCTGAGGAGCGCAAGACGGAGCTGGGCAAGCAGTACTGGCTGATCACCGCCTTCCACGCCAAGGGCAACCTGCAGGAGTACCTGACGCGCCACGTCATCAGCTGGGAGGACCTGCGCAGGCTGGGCGGCTCGCTGGCCCGTGGCATCGCGCACCTGCACAGCGACCACACGCTGTGCGGCCGACCCAAGATGCCCATCGTGCACAGGGACCTCAAGAGCTCCAACATCCTGGTCAAGGGAGACCTCACCTGCTGCCTCTGTGACTTCGGCCTCTCCCTGCGGCTGGACCCCACTCTGTCTGTGGATGACCTGGCCAACAGTGGGCAGGTAGGGCAGCCCCGGCCCCCTTGGGCCCCTCCCCTTGCTACTGGCACCCCTCCCTCTCATCTCCATCAGCCCTGCACTCTGACACTGGTCCAGGGAATCCAGTTAATCCTGACTGCACCCCGCTCTCGTGCCAGGGTACCACTGCCAACCAGCAGCATTTCTCTCCCTGGTTCTCCAGATCCTTACCAGCTTAGGACAGGCATTTCTCCTTGAGTCAGTTCTCATTTCTCTTCCATTTGGACATGATTTTCCTTTGCTTCAAACACTGCTAGTACTGTATTTCTATCTTTTTCCTGTCTTAGGGTTGTACTCAGCCCTTGCTACTTTGTACTCTTGGTCCTTATATTGTTTTTTATTTTGGTTTTGGTTATTTTTTTTTAATTTTTTATTTTTTACCATTTTAGAAGGCAGTCTCCTCGAAGTCCAAATCCACATCTATTTGGTCACATCCATCACAAGGCCTTGAACAGGGAAAGTGACCAATAAGTATTTGTAGAGTGAGTGACGGACTGGGTGAAGGAAGAGTTCCTCTTTTGAAGCATCTCACTGATTAGAATTGAAAGCTTTTTGCTTAAGGAGCTATTAGATGCTAACATTACCATCATTCTTTATGTTTCACACGCCGGAAGCTTGGCTGTGGATTAGAGTGAAGTGTTGAGAGCACCGTTGTTTCCTCTAACCAGGCTGAGGGGAGTGCTTTTGAAGCATCTAGTCACTGCTCAGGCAGCTCTCCGGGTCCATGGCCACACATCAAGTGTAGAGATAAACATGTTGAAACACGGACAGATTACTGTGCCAGGGTAACAAGTCATGCAGTGACCTATTAAAAAGAAAAATTTCTTCTAATGCATGCCAGTAAGAAGCGTTATTTGGGGTGATATTATCAACTCACTTGACATTCCCTGGATCCTTGGGAAGGTAGGATTTCATTGTTATTTAGTCAGTCTGTACAAGCTGCATTATCAAACATTCAAGTGATTTTTTTCCCCCAGAAGCATTTCTTCTATGTTCCTATGTATCGCAGTGTTTTCATACTACGTAAGTCATCGTTCAAATAAAACTACATAGCATGCCCATCAAAATTATAAAATGAGGGCTTCCCTGGTGGTGCAGTGGTTGAGAGTCCGCCTGCCGATGCAGGGGACACGGGGTTCGTGCCCCAGTCCGGGAAGATCCCACATGCCACAGAGCGGCTAGGCCCGTGAGCCATGGCCGCTGATCCTGCGCGTCTGGAGCCTGTGCTCTGCGACGGGAGAGGCCACAACAGTGAGAGGCCCACGTACCGCAA